CATCCACATCTCTGTTACGGTTCAACCGGGGCGGTGTGAACAGAACACATGAATTGGTCATGCTATCGTTTCTTGATCACACGAAAGGCGCTTCCAAAGTGTTCTGCGGGGCTCCTAGACGAGTCGGAATAACGTTGGGTTTTCATTGAGAGGTTGGTGGGCAACAACCGTCAATAAAAGATGGGTTGATTAGCTGTTGAATTAAAGAAAAACGTGTTAGAAGAAGTGTTCACGTATCAATCGAAAGCATTCGGAAGCCCACCAGTGTCTTCACAGAACTTGTCACCACCATTTTTGCAAGGATTACATTTTGCATCGTTTGTTCAAGGTTGCTCGGAAAATAGAGTTGCCATTGGTATCCATTCCCATGCATATGAAACAGTTAGGTACTCTGATAATTGTTTGGAATAACGGTCAAGTGTTCTGTGATGTGCAGAATTGCATGACTTGTGGGTGCACTTGTGTTGGTACCCCGCGGTCATCGGTATTAGCTTTGAGGGGGTGGGGTCTTCATCGTTCGGCAGCCATTAAATAACGTGGTCACCATCGATTTTATCCAGCTCAAGGTTGATGGGAATCGTCTATTCGATCGCTTATGACAAGTGAATGACCAATGGAAGAGAGAAAAAGGGGGTGCACTTTTGGGTGAAGTTCATGATTCAAAGCGGTTGTAACAGAACCCATTTACGTCCTCCATTTTTTAAGCTCTGGCCCCTTTTCGTCTATCTGCAAGATCCTAGTGATCATGAGTATCGAACAAACCGTATCGGATTCGATAGAAGCGCTGAGTATCGGTTGTAACTAAGTAGAAGAGTTAAAGCAACTTCGGTCCGTGGTGAGACTGAGTACTCTGATCCATCGAGGTTGATGCAATAACGTATGCTACAGCATTTTTGCATTACGTGGGTCTTGGAAGTGCGGTGAAACGATTATGACGCTCATGTGGCACGGTTGCCCGATTGTAGAAGATTGAGACATGTATGCTAACCACAATTTTTATGGTGTGATGGGTTTTCGATGATTTGCTACGTCCAGGACACCAGTACACCTAGCCCTACATTATTGTGCTTACCGTTGGTACTCGAAGCCGGTACCATTCGATGGCGGATGTTGTCTGAAGATTCAGCTTTAATTCAATGGTTCATTTGTATTATTGGCCACCAAGTCCTTCCACAGCTGAGCAACACCTGCTGCGTAAAAAGTCTAAGGTTTCTCATGGTGCCGGTAGGCGGTTCCGTATCCGAATTTCTCTACTACGGTTTTAATCCGCAGAGACATCGGGGCACAAATTGAGCACGTCGTCCGTGTCTGGATCGCTATCATCGTTCAAATCCAGGGGTGTGAACAACGCACAGGCATTACTTTCACCATCACTATTTCGAATGTCAGTACATGTGCTACCGCAATTCCGTGAGCACACGAATGAAACTTCCAGGGAGTTTTGCGGTACACCTAGACGGGTTGGAATTACGGTGTCCTTGCAATTGGATGTTGGTGGACAACTACGTGGTGGAAAAATTTTGGATTAGTTAGTAAGTGTGGGGGTCGCACAACATAGAGAAGATTTCAGCGTAAGCACTTACCATTGGAAGGCATTAGGAAGGCCGGCAATTTGGCAGAACCTATTTCCGTTGTTTTCACAGGGATTGCATTCGGCGTCGTTTGTATTCGGATCTGGTTCACAAATCGGCATGTTATTTGCGTCTATTCCCATGCAAATGAAACAGTTCGGGCACACGCAGGGGGTTGGTGACGGTGAGCTTGACTCTGACGGTGCGGGAGAAGGAGAGTTCGACTCAGACGGGGCGGGAGAGTTCGACTCAGACGGGGCGGGAGAGTTCGACTCAGACGGGGCGGGAGAGTTCGACTCAGACGGGGCGGGAGAGTTCGACTCAGACGGGGCGGGAGAGTTCGACTCAGACGGGGCGGGAGAGTTCGACTCAGACGGGGCGGGAGAGTTCGACTCAGACGGGGCGGGAGAGTTCGACTCAGACGGAGCGGGAGAGTTCGACTCAGACGGAGCGGGAGAGTTCGACTCAGATGGGGCGGGAGAGTTCGACTCAGATGGGGCGGGAGAGTTCGACTCAGACGGAGCGGGAGAGTTCGACTCAGACGGAGCGGGAGAGTTCGACTCAGACGGGGCGGGAGAGTTCGACTCAGACGGGGCGGGAGAGTTCGACTCAGACGGAGCGGGAGAGTTCGACTCAGACGGAGCGGGAGAGTTCGACTCAGACGGAGCGGGAGAGTTCGACTCAGACGGAGCGGGAGAGTTCGACTCAGATGGGGCGGGAGAGTTCGACTCAGACGGGGCGGGGGAGTTCGACTCAGACGGGGCGGGAGAGTTCGACTCAGACGGGGCGGGAGAGTTCGACTCAGACGGAGCGGGAGAGTTCGACTCAGACGGAGCGGGAGAGTTCGACTCAGATGGGGCGGGAGAGTTCGACTCAGACGGGGCGGGAGAGTTCGACTCAGACGGGGCGGGAGAGTTCGACTCAGACGGGGCGGGAGAGTTCGACTCAGACGGGGTGGGAGAGTTCGACTCAGACGGAGCGGGAGAGTTCGACTCAGACGGAGCGGGAGAGTTCGACTCAGATGGGGCGGGAGAGTTCGACTCAGACGGGGCGGGGGAGTTCGACTCAGACGGGGCGGGAGAGTTCGACTCAGACGGAGCGGGAGAGTTCGACTCAGACGGAGCGGGAGAGTTCGACTCAGATGGGGCGGGAGAGTTCGACTCAGACGGGGCGGGAGAGTTCGACTCAGACGGGGCGGGAGAGTTCGACTCAGACGGGGCGGGAGAGTTCGATTCAGACGTTGCTGGGCTGTTCGACTCAGATGGAGAAGGCGTGCTAGACTCGGACGGGAAGGGTGAGTTCGATACAGACGGTATTGGAGGGCTAGACGCGGAGGGACTGGGAGAGCTCGAGATCGACGGGGCTGAAGATTGTTTCGGACAAATGCATTTTCGATTGCATGTGCACATTCGAGGACATGGTGGCTTGACGGCAATGACATTGCAGAAGTTCTTTTGTTTCGATCGGGCTTGCCTTTTTCTCCATTTCTTTTGTGAATTTCCGAGTCTACATGAGGGAGCTCCAGCGTAAGCATTCACCTTTTTCCATCCACATTTGAGAGATGCGTGAGTGTATACGAAGAAGTTCTTACAACATGGAATGCTTGAAAACAACCTAAGAGGACAGACGAGGGTGAGCTTTCGCTTCGCCCAAGAAATCTTCTTCCGACATCCGAAGTATCGAGGGAACGGGAAGGGAATCTTCTTCTGCACAATATCAACATGTGCAGCATCGATCTTGCACCAGTTGAGAGAGTATACAACTCGGATCTTGTTATCTGAAATATCAACGGATACTCTTCCCACCCGTTCCTGTGTTCCGATCACACGAAGCCCGTATGAGTTGTGGAAAGGAAAGTAGTCGCATTTTGGAAACGTCAAAAAGTGCGGACGGGAAGGACGCCTTTTATGTCTCGGCGGTGTTCGACCCCACCTCACAGTGTATTCTGCGGAGCTTGCGACGACCTCCAAACTGAGCAGAAAGAATAAAACAGAGGAAAAGTAGTATGAATACTTCATGATGAATGTGGCTCTGATGGATTGGTATCACAGGGATTCCTGTTTTGCTTGAAAAGGAGGGGAGCTTTTAAGTCGTCCAGAGCGGATACGATCGGACGAGAGAGCTCTTTAGAGTGTGACTTGTAGGTAGCTAATGACCACGTGGAGCCAGCGAAATCTGGGTCACACGTCACAGTCGTTACAGTTCCGCAATCTAGCGAGAGAAGGAACTAAAAAGGTTCTTAATTTTTGCCACCTAGGATCATGGAATGAGTTACTTCGTACAGTTTAGCTTAGCAATGGCTGGTGGTAAGCCAGGGATGTCCTTACAACAAACCCTCATACACCAGCCAGCCCTTTGGTCACGATGGAGTCCTCGGAGGATACATAGAGGGTGTCATAGGTCTCTCGAGCTACACTGTGATAGGGACAAGGACGGCACCCTAAGGTACGTGACCAAAGAGCAAATTTCAGCCACCTCCCGTACTTTCGGACTTAGTATGTGCTAGACGTGCCCCCTAAACATATTGTACATGCATTGATCCAAAACGCCTCCCCATCTCTGTGAGCACTATTCACATATCTCAACAACCTTGGATTGCGGAGATTCTGTTTTAGTGACTTGGTAGCTCTAATCCTGTTTGTGTCCGAAACAGCTTGATTGGATACCGGAATCTGGGTGGACGTAAGGATCAGAGAGCTCAACAAGCTTGGGTTGTAGAGAGATCTTTACTCACCTGGTAATCCTACTGTATTCTTGTTGGAACGTCTTGATTGGATACCGGGGTAATGAGGTAAGGATCCGAGAGCTCAACAAGCTTCCGCTGCAAGGACCACTTAAAGATGTGAAGAAGTGTGTGGCCGGCAGAAAGCACAGACTGTGCCGCCGGCCGCTCCTTTATAGACTCTATGTTCTAATTTTTTTTTGTTATCCTAATAAAGAAGAGTAATGAATGCAGTCTCAATTCGGAGTTGCATTGTAATTTAGAGAATTACAATGCAACTCTCTCTAATTCTACCTCTCACAAAAGAGTCCTAACTATGTGGGAAACAGCTTGATTGGATACCGGGGTGAGGATGTCATGATAACCCTTTAGCTCTTTGTGGGCCTTCTAACCCTTACGTGACTCTACTGAGACTTATTTTCTGTCGTTCGGAGTCATAACCCACCCTGTGACAATGTGATAGGAGTCATACAGTAGGAGCAGAAAGCTCTCACGATATGGCTACCGGACCGCGGGCTACACTTGAAGCTCCAAACTTGCAATCTGCGCTTTCGCAAATCTATTCCACGTGTAAACGTGACAATTCTAGTGTAGGCCAAAAGGCTACTCATGGTTAGCCAGCCTCCCTTCACCCCCGACAGCATCCATGTGTTTGTGTGTGTGTGTGTGTTTGTATGCACTCGTGTCTCTAATTCCAAGACTACACTAGCTAGATAGCAAAGTGGCTATGCAAAAGATTGCAAATCTTTTTAACATCGGTTCGAATCCGATTCTAGCTTTGACGGTTACATTGACAAAACCCCTCTCTCTGCTGTCTGTAGATAAACCAACAGCGTTTCTGGCCATGTCCTTACTATTGATTCGGCGTCAGAACCCTACTTCTCTCGGACAGGTGGGAGCTCTCGACGCCGGGATGCCGCTCTTCGGCGCCATCTAAAACCAAAATAGTCTACACTACTAAGTATGTTGGGCCCACATCGGAGTTAGCAAAAATATTTCCTGTTGTGTAGTAACGTAGAGACTGACTCTAGCTATGAAACGTCGCCAGTAAATATTTGCGATCGGGTAGCATGCACACTCTTTAGTGGCACTACATTTCAAAGCAAATCTGCGAATTTGTTTGTTTGCACGTTTATTATGGGCCCTTAATGCGTAATTGCTGCATTATGAGTAGAAGTATCGTCTTGAGATACTTCTCTTTCGGCAGAAAACCAAAAAGCATTTTTGGCCACTGCCTAATTATATCTTTGATCGACTTTCTACTTCTCTCACGCGGACTAGGAAGATGATCTCTCCTAGTCTGATTGATCAACTGACATCGTAACACGTAATGGTCTACGGTCTTTTTCGTTCTCCTCGAACATGCACACCTTACCGTTCGCTTCGTAAGAAATGAAGCAACAGGATTAAACGTTGAAACAAGACCTGTTTTAGAACTGGGCTAAGAACATCTCGGCTTCCCTTCCATTTCTGTCTTCAATAAGGCAGGTTTCTCTGTGAGCAAGCTTTGACGTTGAACTGTCTTCAGTTAACGTGCTCGAACGTCAGGCATATCGATCGGGACGGCTATTTGTGATCTCAAGGGTATTTCTAAACCCATTTTTGCCAGGTTATCAACTCGTTCGTTGTTCTCAATCCCAATATGCGCTGGAACCCATGCGATATGCACTGTGTGCCGTTGTGAAACCTCGCATAGTAGTAAAGATAGACGCTGAACTGTTGCACACTGCCGTCGAACCGATGTTTGGAGAGCTTTCATCAGGCTTTACGACTCCGTGGACACTCGTACTGTGCCTGATACCCTGTCGCGTGCCTGAGATTCGCAGCCTCCATTGCATGTATCTCTGCGATTTATGAGTAGACGCCCACTCCTGCTGCGATACCGCCCTTTTCAAGTTCGTTTTGTGGTCTATTCCACCATATTTCAAATGCGCTTTCCCAACTTCCTCAATGTTGAGAACTCGGGCTGGCAGTACATGTCCGTCAGCATCTTTCACCGTCCCGTCCTGTTCATTGGCTTTATGTGCCATGTTAAACTCGTCATCGTATTGAATCCAAAAACTAGGAGCCGCATCACGGTTCTGTAGAAAACGTTCAACGCATTCGTGATTTCTGGAGGCGTTAAGGTCGCATCTTAATGAACCTGCAAACCATCCGTCGTCCCATTTCACTGCCACTCGTAGTGCTGCAACTTGTTTCAAAGAGTCTGGAATAATCCCAACCGATCCCTCACACCATATATCACGCATCGAATCTGGAAGATTCTGCCTCATTTCTTCTACAGCGTCCTTTTGACCTGCGCATCGTCGCTCTTTCTGCACGGCACGTCGTAAAATGAAAAAATACGTTACTCATGTTAATCATTCCAGGTTCCGAAGGCATTGGAGCTCTCGGGATCTGTAGTAGTCCATTAGCCGCTAGTCGGTTTTCTGCCTCTCGTTTAAGCGTAGAACGCGTCTTTTGAATCCTGTTTGAGATTCAATCCTTCCTTTCCACCAGATTAAATGACGTCCCCCGTACCCTTTCAACATCTAGTATTCGTACTTCAAGTACGTGACCTTCCTCGTCATATATGGCGTTATCCCTCTCCAATCTGTAGCACATGCGAAATTCATCATCACACTGGATCATTACGTCTGATTCTATTTGCCGCCCTACTTTAAACGATCGGATTTCTGTCTGCAGAATGTTTCAAACCATCTCATTCGCGTACTGTGCCATTGAACCACTCTTCGCCCCACTTTCCAGCTGCCCGGGTGGATGATAAATATTTGGCACCCAATATTTGGTTACCTACGGATCCATCCTCCCAGGCCTCGCAGTCTACCTGTCCTATGTGTTGAAGCAACTTCTCGGCTGCTTTTCTCTGTATTTCAGCTGGATTATCCTTGCGGCATGTTGCAAAGTGGAAATCGGCATTCCGTGTAGATCTGATACATGTTTGAGCTGGCATCGGTTCTCTGTGCAATTGTAACAAGCTTATGTCTGCCAGTTTCTTTTCGGCCATCATCTTCATAGTTGAGCGCTTCTTCCTCATCTTCGTCGTAGTTATCTGGTGCAAAGCCTCACCAAGCGGAGTCTCCCTTCCCATCCTCATCGACCTTTCATATAGCTTTGCAGCTTGAGAGGATGCCATTTCTTCCATGGTTGGGAGATTAACAAGCTTCCATAGCTGCGCTACTGGTGCCGACTTCACACATCCGGTTCGGATGCGAACTGCTTCATTTCTGGCACGCTCCAGAGCTGCCACTGATGTTTTGTTAGAATTTGATACCACTTCGGCTGCGGCATACCACGCAATTGGCTCGGGGAATCCGACGAGGAGCATCTCCATTGCCTCCCAATCAGCCCCCTATGTTTTGGCTGCCATTATTTGCAAGACCTTCCACCGCGAGTAGAAACGTTCTGTGACCTGTTGTAGGTGCTCTCGGAAGCTAAGCCTAGAATATGAGACCACATCCAAAAACCTCGCACTGTCGACCAGGTGTACCTGTTCTACGCAAATTGATACATGGAAGCTGGCGTTAATGAGCCTCCAATTAGTATACGTAAGCGGCACTACTGATGTCTTTTGCGGGTTGAGGTTGATGTTTAATTTCAGGAAATAGGCTTCCAGCCTCTCAACGACCTGTTGTAGTTGTAAGTTGCACTCTTGGACTGTCTTACCAGTCGCCCAAAATGCTGTGTCATCAGTGAACATTATTTATTTTGACCGACTCGCCTTCTCGTGTTACTTCGGTTCGAAGATCATGTATGACGGCGATACACTACCCCTATGGATAGCGTACCACCTTGCGGCAGCCCCTGACGGATTACTCTCTCTCCAATTAGTGCTGTGTTCCACTGACATCGACACCACCCATGAACAGCACGAACAGCGAAGATAGTTCAACCGCAAATGTGGGAAAATTCCGTCGCAGGACGGAGGTTCGTCTGCGAAAATTGGGGGTAGAGATAAAAGACAAAAATATAGTACAATTGTTTTACAGCTCTAGAACCCGCTCTCCCCCGACACGGTGTTTTGCATTGTTAAGTAGGCCTCCAAACGGTACCGGAGATTCTACATCGTGTTGATTAGATATTGTGATGTACGAGATCCTCCCTTTCGTTTGAGACTCTTGATGAAGATCGTAACGGTTTATGAAGCACGTTCGGTCTCCAAATTCAATGCCTTCCAAGTCAAAGATCCTTGTTCGCGCTTCCTCCCATTGGGCATATCCATATAGCTACACCCACGAGACCTATATACAACGTACCTATTCCAAAATAATAGACCCCATTAAAAGTAGAAATCTACACAAAACACCAGCAGGGAATGAACGTTTTTCAACTTCGGAGCATTTCAATGATCATGATTAACTGCACAGCATTTCAATCAGGGGCGTATTTGTGACAAACTATTTTGCCACTTGAAGTAGTCGTTGGTCAATACTTTTCCAAAATTGATAGTCAAAAACCTTCAATAATAATCAAAAAATTGGATGATGACTACTTCTTTTGCCGAGGTAGTCAGTCACATTCCCCATTATTGCAAAATAGTCCGTCACAAATACGCCTGATTTCAATGGTAAAGGAACATTCAAATGCTGCGCAGTTGAAAATCTTTTTCTGCAAAACATCGATCCTTATCACCCAAAAACGATATTCTATCGACGGTTTCTTCTTGTATTCCCCGTCGATCACATAATAATATACCTTCCTGCTAGAGGTTACCATGTGGTTTGAAAGAGGAAACGTAATATTCAAACCTGGTTTTCGTGTCTTCAGCTTTACTGTTGTCGCTTGAACTTCTGGCATGCGGTCGATGTTCATTTTCGTAAACGCAGTGTGAGAACGTTCAACTATGCTTAAACAACAAATGCGGCACAAGTCGGTCGGGAGCTTCTCTTAGCTCCAGTAGATTGGTGGGTTTATATAAGGTTACCTACACGACCTTTGGGCTACTTGGGGCTTCACGTCCCGGACTCTGGTCCTTCGTTATTGTACGTGTTTAGCTGACAATATACGTGTTCCGGCTTTTGGAACTACGGAAACAGTACGTAACCGGCACACCCCCCGTCGCGCTAGTATCCTTAGTATAAACGTATCGACCCCAACAAACAAAACACTGTAGAGAGTTTCTGGCAGTACAGGTCTGCGGTGATTAATGCCAAAGTTTGGTGTTGTGGCTCATTTCTCGGGAGAGATCGACATTCCATATTCCGTGTTCGAACATGTGATTCAGGTTATTCTCATGTGTGACGCTGCGCTTAGTTAATGCGTCGGCTAGATTCGCACTATCTGGGATCCAAGTGATCTGGTCAAGGTCCCCTGATTCAAATGCGTCTTTAATCATGGTAACCATTTTTGGCAACCTTTACTCACGACATTCGTGTAGTGTCGTTATAGCATCAAACAGAGTTTTAGAATCCACCAACAAATGATGCTTGATTTCGACATTTGGGAAGATGCTACGATAAGAGACTTATATATCGTTTCCTCTCTCCTTTGCTTCAGAATAAGCTACAATCTCCGCCCCAAAAGACGAGTAAGTCACGCGGTTTTGCTTAGAACTGACTCAGTACAAGGGGTGGAAAACATCTTTTGCTCCGAACATTTTCGTAAGCTTCATTCCACAGACGATCCCTGATTGGCCATAACGGTTGTCGTTTTGACTGTGAGATGCGTTTGAAAGGCTGATGAGTGTGGCCCTCTGGATCCCGGTTGGTCTGATGAATTTCATCACTGGCTTCAGGGTTTGCAGTTCGCGAAGCGTGGCGTTGGCATATATCAAGTTCTT